CCAATGTTCTGTGGGGCCGCTCTCTACCAAATGTCTCCTATCGACTTTATTCGGCGACCCTGGGTGTGGCTAAAAGCCTTGAGCCAATATGAATGCGTCTGCAGTGCGGCGCCTAATTTTGCCTTTGCGCTTGTGACACGCAAGATGCCCGACAATGTATATAACCAGCTGGACCTCTCCCACGTAACAGGTATCTTGTCGGGTGCAGAGCCTGTTCGTAGGCAGACCGTGGAACAATTCGTTGAGGTAAGCGCTAGACACTGGTCGATACACTGCACAATGAGCCGGAGCTAAGCTTTCTACGAGCAACTGAATGCAGGCGATTAGGTCCTTCGTTAAATATGCCATGATTTTCGGAGTTGTCCTCATGACTTTGCAGAAATTCGCCTCCAAGGGTATTCAGCCTCGGACAGTGGCTCCAGCATACGGTCTCGCTGAGCACACTCTTATTGTAACTGGAAAGGGCGACTGGCAATCCAGTGCCAGCGTTCTTTATGTTGACGCTCTGAAGTTGAGGGCGGAGCGTATCGTGGAAGTCTTCACCCCGGAAGAAGCAGCAACGAAACCTCCAGGCGAAGTGCAGGATGTCGTCAGTTGCGGCTTTCCATTTCAGGGCGTCACTGGTGAGTGTGTAATACTCTTCTACGGGTTCAAAGCGAATCACGGAACCAATCTAAAGGCATGGGGCTTGTGTGTGTTTTAATGTTGCGCAGTTAAAATCATGGATCCCGAAACCCATCGAGAGTTGCCAGATAGACACGTCGGGGAAATCGTTGCATTCAGCGAATCGGTTGCCCTAGGGTATTTCAACAAGCCGGAGCAGACTGAAAGCACATTTCGGGTCTCTGTAATAGATGCACAAGGAAACAGGACTCCACCTACTGGGCTCCGCACTGGTGACTGTGGTTTTATGCACAAGGGAGAACTCTACGTGACTGGTCGGTTCAAAGATATAATCATCATCAGGGGCCGGAATTACTACCCCTCGGATATCGAAGAGTCTGTTCTAGAAGTTCCGCAAGTTCGGCCAGGGTGCGTAGCTGCATTTGCAATTGAGGCGGATTCAAATGAAGTTTTGGGCGTAGCTGCGGAGCTGCGTGTCGAAGACGGTTTGAGGGGTGTCTGGGCGCGCGTGCGTCGGCAACTCTTCGATAGGTCTAGCTACGACCAAATTGTAAAAAATATATGTAAAGCAGTCGCCAGCTCTACAGGCCTCAGTGTGCAAAGGGTGTGGCTTCTACGACCCCGTAGCCTGCCGAAGACGAGCAGCGGAAAACTTCGAAGGTCCCTCGCCCGCGACAAGTTGCTTGAAGGCAAACTCGATGGCGTTATTCATACGTACACCCATCATGCTCACCAAACAGAAGGTCCACCGAACTCCACAAGAGCCGTTGCAAATGCGCCCTCCAAGCCTACCACCAACCAGAGTTCCGAGCCCTCACACAAGGGACATGAGGAATCCGGACCTAATCATGAGGCTGTGGTGAAGAGCGTAAGAGAAGCAGTGATTGATGCAGCAAAGAATGTGCTTGGAGATGTGAACGAGTTGCCAGACATGCAGGCGCCACTGCATGAGTTGGGAGTTGATTCCATTGCGGCCGTGGAGCTAGCCGAGCTTGTGTCTGAAAAGTTGAACATCGACATCGAACCAACGTTAATGTTCAATTATCCGACGATGGAAGACATCATAGACTTCTTGGTGCGGGAAATAGAGGGAAAGGGTGGAGAAGACGCACTAACCGTTAACACCAACACCTCGGAAGTGACAATGGCTGTTGTGGGCGCAGCATGCAACCTGCCTGGAGGTAGCACATCCCTCAGTTCATTCTGGGATGCTCTCATGTGCGGCGTTGATGCAATGGTGGAGGTTCCTCGGTCAAGGTCAGCTACATAGTTGCTTTTGCTCCCACAATATTGCTGCTGCATGGGTTGAGGCTTTATGGGTTAGGGTTTAGGTTNACATAGTTGCTTTTGCTCCCACAATATTGCTGCTGCATGGGTTGAGGCTTTATGGGTTAGGGTTTAGGTTGTATGGTTTAGGGTTAGCATTGGCTGAGCAACGCTTTCGATTGCAACAGCGGTGTGCACGACCGGGGGTTAACTCGCTCTGTCGGCCTTCTACTTAAATGCGTTGCAGGTGGGATGTAGAGGACTACTTCGACCCAGACCCGGATGCAGAAGGCAAAATGTACATCCGGGAAGGTGGTTTTATTGAAAATGCCGAATATTTTGACGCGTCCTTCTTCAGAATTTCATTGGCGGAGGTGCATATCTCCCTGCTCCAAGATTTCCCTAGGGAATTACTTCTCTGCAACTATACGGGTGAATTGCCAGTTTAACGTCTTTCCCTTCATTCTGTGTGCTCGCATATTTGTGCAGGCATCGAGTATGGATCCGCAGCAAAGGCTTCTGCTGGAGGTCGGGTACGAGGCCTTGCACGACAGTGGCTTTGACAAGGACAGCTTGCTCCGGGCAAACATTGGAACATTTGTAGGATGCTGCTGCAACGAATGGCAGCAGACCTGCGCTCAAATGGGTCTGGGAATCAGCAGCTTTACAGCAACCAGTCACGCTCCCTCCATTTTATCAAACCGTCTGTCGTACACTCTTGGGATGCTGGGCCCGTCCTTAACAGTTGATACTGCATGCTCTTCTTCTCTTGTGGCGTTGCACCTAGCCATTCAAGAGCTCAAGGCAGGAAGCTGCACGTCTGCCTTGGTGGCAGGTGTGAACCTCATGCTGTCCCCGAATGTTACAGTAGCGTTCTGCAAGGCTCGCATGATGGCCCCAGATGCTCGCTGCAAGACATTTGATGCAAGTGCAAACGGCTATGTGCGGGGGGAAGGGCTAGGCGCAATAGTTATTAAGCCACAAACAGAGGCTGTGAAAGACAACAGTCNTATGTGCGGGGGGAAGGGCTAGGCGCAATAGTTATTAAGCCACAAACAGAGGCTGTGAAAGACAACAGTCGAATTCTGTGCATCGTCCGCGGTACAGCAATCAACCATGGAGGGCGCGCGGCAAGTCTGACAGCGCCCAGTGGTCCCTCGCAAGAGCGAATAATTCGGACCGCTCTCCGTAACGCCGGCGTATCTCCGGATGAAGTGCTGTTTGTTGAAACCCACGGGACGGGGACGCCTCTGGGAGATCCGATCGAGATTGGCGCTCTCAAGGCTGTATTCAGATCCAGCAGGGACTCCCCGCTTCTCTTAGGTGCGGTAAAGACGAACATCGGACACCTTGAGGGTGCAGCAGGTATCGCCGGGTTTCTTAAGGCCGCGTTGGCTCTTCGACATGAACAGATTCCTCCAAATTTGCATTTCAAGACTTGGAATCCTCACATTGACCTCAAGGGTGCGAAGTTCGTCTGCCCTGTCGTCGCACTCCCCATAACACCAGCAACGGGAAAACAGCGGATNTCAAGGGTGCGAAGTTCGTCTGCCCTGTCGTCGCACTCCCCATAACACCAGCAACGGGAAAACAGCGGATTGGTGGAGTTAGCTCTTTCGGTTTCGGAGGCGCAAACGCACATGTCGTGCTGCAGGAGGCTCCTCATCCATGCGTTGGTAGGCGTCCATGCAAGGCTCAAAAGCCCACACTTGTGTGCTTTATGTTCGGCTGCCAAGGAGTGGAAGGCTTGCACAAGTGCCGTGTACTTTACGAGAGCGACTCGGCCTTCGCAAAAGCCATCAACGACTGTGGCGATATACTTAAGCGTTTGGTTAGTGTTCCACTTCTTTCCATTCTCTTCTCTGAGAAGGACACACCGAAGGATGCGGAAAGGGGTCACGGCCAACAAACCCAGCACTGGCTGCGGCAGACACGTTTCGCGGATCCTGCACTTTTCGCATTCGAATATGCCATCGGCCGCAGCCTCATTGCACAGGGTGTCAAGCCAGATGCTGTCATGGGCGTAGGTGTAGGAGAATTCGTTGCTGCGGCAATTGCAGGGGTCATGAGCTTGGAAGACGGGCTACGGGTTGCGTGTCAAAGGGCAAAACTTGTGGAGACATTCCTGCCATCTGATACTGTAGCCGTGGCCTGTAGGGTGGGTGAAAAGGATGTGGAAATGGCTATTTCCGAGGCCGGAGGAGCAGCAGGCTCTACTTCGTCGGTTGCTATGTCCCTAGTTTACGGGCAGAAGCAGCTGGTCTTAACGGGAGTTCAGTCGGAGCTGGAATCCGTGTTAATGAAGCTTGACATAGCTGGTCGTTTCAAATACCTGCCTGACCGTGTGGGCTTCTCGTCGCCTCTGTTGTCAGACGTCGTTACTCCCCTGGCTCGGATCATCGGTGGTGTAAAGTTGTCGCGTCCCACCGTAAAGATGATCTGCCCAACAACCGGAGAATTCTGTGATGAACAAGTCCTCAGCGCCCATTACTGGACCCAACACTTGATAAGAACAGTGCGATTCGATCAATGCATCAGCAATCTTGTTTCGGCCGGGTGCAAGTTGCTCGTGGAAATCAACGGCAGGGCAGCTTTGATCCGAATGGGCCAGCAGAGCGTTGACGAAANTGCAAGTTGCTCGTGGAAATCAACGGCAGGGCAGCTTTGATCCGAATGGGCCAGCAGAGCGTTGACGAAATGGCGAAGGATGTTGAATGGGTGTTTGCCTTCCCAGCAGCTGAGGAGGATACAAGTGACAGGCAAACCTCCGCCGTTCAAAAGTGCCTGAAGGTTATTGACAGGGTTGGTGAGCAGCTCGAAATGGAGCATTGTTTACATGGACAGGATGAGACACTCTACCGCCGAAAACCCATCCCGTGGGTACATATTCCCCACCCTTTCGTTGGCAAGCAACGCGAGCTTGGGGATGGTGGATTCCTGTTTGAGACGTCTTTCCCCCGCCGCGCGGTGCCGTTGTTTGCCGATCACATGGTAAACGGGAAGGCTATGATGCCTGGCATGGGGATGGCGGAAATTATTGCCAGTGCTGCCTTTGCTCTAGACCTAAAGACCCCGTCTGGAGCGGTTGCGCTGGAAAATGCATTTTTCGAAAGGCCGATGCTGATTGGCTCCCAGCGTGTCACATACGAGTTTAACACGCGAACCGGCAACCGCAACTGCGGCAGGCTCAGCCCCCGTACAGTTCGGACTCCAAGAAGGGTTAATGACGCTTATGTCCGCAGACCACGGGCAGACAGTGAATCTCGTGGCTTCTCAACCCCGGGACTGGCTAGTCCATCTCTTGCTCCAAGTGCTTGGCTCGTTTCACCGGTCAGCAGTAAGGAAAGCACTCCGAAGTTAGCGTCAATCGAACCGCGCGTGAAGGACCTGAGGCTCAAAGCGGAGCTGGAGGAAGTAACGCAGTCCCTTTTATCGAACCGCGGAGCGCTGCCTGATGACCAGGTTGTCCCTCAAGACGTTGAGATGACAATTCGATGCCACGTCATGAAGAACCTCGGTGTTGAGCTGAGCAGCGTGTGGGATGATGAAACAAACGTTCACTGCAGCGCCAGAGTTGTTCTTAGGGAACAGAATAGAGAAGAGACGTTGCCATCTTTGAAGGATCTGCAGGAGCGCTGCAATCAGACGGTTTCGGTTAGCCAGCTATACGAAACCTTGTTTGATTTAGGGCTTCAATATGGACCGCGTTTCCGCTCAGTGCATAGTATTTCGCGGTCAGAGTCAGAGGCGCTGGCTCGCTTGATGCTACCCGAGGGCTGCAAGCAAGATTCGTTTGAGAGCGGCTTCCTAGTGCATCCTGCCCTTCTTGATGGAGCGCTTCATGTAAGAAGCAACACACAGTAGCNGTTATGTTTCCTAAGCTATGGCTGCGTTGTTTGTGTGCAGGTTGCCGCTTCGCTCATTGGGAGGCACGCTTCTGGTGCTCACGTATCTATGGTCCCAGTTGGTGCTGGCAGCATATGGCTGAGGAAGCTGGAGGTTAAGGCAGGCTGTTGGGCGCATGTGGAACTGCTAGAATGCCGATCGCGATCGGCAGTGGTGAATGTGCGGATTTTTGACGACAACTGGCAGGTCGTCGCCTCCCTTGAGAAAGTTGCCCTTAGAAACGTTGATATTGGGGGCAGCGTCGGTGCCAGCATACCGCGAGATCTCATTTGGAAGGTTAGATGGGAAAAACGGGCAGAGCTAACGTCTCAGCCACAGGATCACGCACAAACCAAGGGGCCAGTGCTGGTCCTCGGTGGTAGCTTGCAACTCATGGAGGCATTTTCGAATGCACTAGGAGGCGAGGGCTATGGTAGAGTTCTTAGTGTCGAAGATATTCCGCCAACAAGACCAAAAGTCCAAGACCTGCTGTCCAGCGGCAACTGGAGGGCGATAGCCTTTGTAGAGGCGTTGACTGCTGATGAGTATGCCTTTCTAGACGTTCCCCACGCAGCAATTCGTCTTCTGCAAGCGTATTCATCATTGCTAAATAATGGGGTCACAGTTCCCCCCATGTGGTTCTTCACTAAGGACATTATGGAAGCGCCGACAGAAGAGGAGCAAACTCCTCCACAACCCGACCTTCCTGCTCACGCTGGACTTTGGGGGCTTGTGAAGGCAGCCCGACTGGAGATTGAAGTTTCCACTGGTAGCGCGACCCAGATTGGCTGCCTTGATATTGCACCTTTGGAAAAAGATGACGACATTGCCAAGGCAGTCGTAACTTTCCTGCGCTCCAGCATGGCGACATCCGATGAAAACGAGTTGATGCTGCGTAGCAACACCTTGTATGCAGCACGGCTAGAGAAAAGCGACTTAGCTGTTCGGGGAGCCCTTGAACTGTACATGCCAGAACGAGGCGCCATTTCAAACTTGGTGGTGCGGCCCCAAGCTTTTGCAGCTAGGGTGCCACCAGAGCACAATCAGGTTGAGGTTCGCGTGAGGGCAGTTGGTCTCAACTTCCGTGATGTGCTTAACGTTATGGACCTTTACCCTGGAGATCCTGGGCCGCCAGGTGCCGACTTCGCTGGAACAGTAGTGGCCGTAGGGGATGAAGTGGAGCATGTACGCGTGGGCGACCGTGTTTATGGCATAGCACCGGGAGCTTTACGTACCTATGCAACGACTGATGCTAACCTTGTACGCCGAGCTCCGGAATCGCTTGGTTTTGAAGAATCTGCTGCATTGCCGGTAGTAGCAGTGACAGTGGAGTACGCCTTGGGAGACCGGGCGCAAGTAAAGGCAGGCG